TCTTCATCGACGTATTGCTCTATTCGTATTGAGTCGAATTGGCACGGCAACTAAATGGTATAAGATAACTTGATCAGCTCGATCATGCAACAATAATATTATTGAATGCAAGAGGCAATCAATCAGTTCTGTATAGCAACTCTTTTCTCTAAATTGATCCTATCCTTATCTGGAAAATACAAAATTATGTCTAGTGGATTTCTTATACTTAAAATTTTTAAGTTTACCTAATTCTTATGTATTGAATTCTTATAATGAATAATTAGGATTATGGCTGGTATGATGGTAGTAACAGCGTTTCTTTCAATGTGGATGAACAATATTGCGTCAACATCAATTATGTTGCCTGTAGTATTAGCCCTTGTCGATGAACTCGAGATTTACAGCGAAAACTCTCACAATCGACAACAAGGCAACATACAGAGAGCATCTTTTATAAATGGTATTATATTACTCAATAGTTACTTATAGTTCTCTATGCACAAAACTGTATTTAGTTGCATTCGATTCCACAAATATGGAAGAGTCTGACGAAAATAAAATCGGCGAGATCTCTCATACTATTCAAAAAACTGAGCAATCGTAAATATAAGAGATTTGACATTTGCATAATCTGTGGCTTTCTCTTCCTACTTTAGAAAACTAGAAACGCCCGTAGTAGTAAATAATCGCTTGAAATTATTATGCTGTAAACAGCAACAAATTGAACTTAGCAATACATACAAGAAAAACTATGATCAATTGAAGAAAGGTGACCTTCTTTCCTATTCGTGGTCTAGAATTGGCTCTACTTTTATGTATATGTTTATATGTAGGATTCCTTCTTGCCGTAGCCTATTCTTCGTCTATCGGTGGGCTATCTAGTTTAGTTGGTACGTCACCCAATATTTATCTCAAAGGTTTTATTGACAGGTAAATTGAAAAAATAGAAATATTAACTGAACATATATCATATGCAACATAGTAAATACGGTCGTACTAACTTTCGCATAAATTTTCTCAATTTTCTACTCTTTTCTCTACCGGCTGGAATAATAATGCTTATATTCTGTTGGGTATGGTTACAACTGTGCTATAATAAGACAGAGTGCGTATGCACAATTTATAATATTACATATTTTGTATTAAAAAAAAGAGAACGTTGACTTATTTAATTATTTCAAGACTCTTTCAATGTCGACCATCGGATGAAGCTCGTGAAACTCAAGATAATTTGAAAGTAATGCTGACAAAACAATATAGAGATCTTGGACGACCTAAGTGAATAATTCGAAAAAAACGAAAGAATTTCTATGTACATGATTCTACTCTACTTTTTAGATGGAGTGAACTCACCGTAACTGTCATATTTATTCTTATGATTGTTCTATGGACAACAAGAGAATTTTCCGATACAATAGGATGGGGCGTGATATTTCAACGCAAGTATTTATATAGTTCTTTTCTTTCTGCCTCAAACATTGAATTTAAGAAGAACATGTTTTCTTTTCTAGATATGTCAGTGATAGTACTGTAGCTATTCTCTGCGGAATACTTCCATTAATTTTACCAGACAGTAATCCATTTAATCGTAGGATATTTCTGTAATTAGAGACTAAAATATATTTATATTAGTGAATATTTTCCTTCATAAGGACAACGTGACTGGAGGTATCAGCCAATAATGAAATGGGATAGTTTAGTGCAGCATGTTTCATGGGGATCAATAATTCTACTTGGTGCTGGACTTGCAATAGCCACTGCTTTCGAAGTACGTTGAAATGAATACATTCGTATAATACATAAATATTATTGAAATTTTAAGCAATCAAAATTATCGAAAAGTGTGGCACAAGCTCTGAATTTTGTATCTGATGTACCACGAACTGCAGCTATTATGATCATTATTGTTATTAGTGGTCTGTTTACCGAAGTAACATCGAATCTAAGTACGGCAACCATCTTTTTTCCCGTGCTTGACTCTGTGGTAAGGAACAAAATAACTTTTCTCTGTCAAATATATGGATATCTTGAAATAAAAATAGATTTACTATCAAAAAGTTTGCATATGAGCATAAATTTCCTTTTCAAATACATAAAAATTAGCTTTTTGGGATCTAGAGGACAAAATTAATGTTAAATCATTTCTATTTGCATAAAATATTCAAATGATAGGCAACTTCATCTGGTATACATCCAGCATTTCTTCTTTTACCATGCACATTAGCTGTCTCTTTAGCTTTTATGTTGCCCATATGTAAGTATTGTCATTAAACATTACATAATAGCACTGAACTTTTCTTTCATACAGCTACGGCGCCAAATGCCATCGTTTTTGCCAGTGGTGCCATTCGAGTAGTCGATATGGTGAGTTTAACAATGTTTTCACTCACCTATCAAAATCAATTGAAAAATTTCTAGATAAAAACAGGTATAGGAATGAATTTCGTCGGATTCTTAGTTATCTTTTTGGCTGCAAATACATGGATGCCAAAAATATTCGACCTAAACGATCAAACTGTGGCATATTTCTTCAACGTGAGCTTGACCGCTCATTCCCGCACTCCCAATATCTAGTTTTTTTTTCCAATGAAACAGACTACATACATACTACGTATTAATCTACGTTACATGTTCAATGATATAACGCAAAAAAAAACTATGCTCTGATCTGTTTTGATATATTAGAAAAAAGAACGAAGACTTCATCAGGCAATATGTAGTAATAGTAGAAATGGGCATTGGGGTATGTATTTGTGTGTGTGTGTACGTGAAGAAAAGAAAACAAACACGTCCACAGTTCCAAGAAGTCAAATTGTTTGATGGACAAAAACAATCGTACAAAGTCCGTTTGATTCCATATCTCCATACAATCTAACAGGGTTAACAAGACTGCTTGATCAAGCCGAATATGATGATAGACACGATCGATGTGACCTTGGCATATTAATTCGTAATTAATTGAGCAATACATACAGTCTGATGAAAGATTATCGATCTAGCCTTCAGAAATAATCAATAATAGTATGGTGTGGGTGTGGGTGTGTGGGTAGGTGAAAAGTGAATGCCAGTAAACTCACACCCACACTCACACCCACACCCACACCCACACCCACACCCACCCTCACCCACACCCACACCCACACCCACCCACACCCACACCCACGCCACACACCCACACACACCCACACCCACACCCTAAAATGCTTGCCGGATGAAGGTCACTGTAAACGTGGGAGATTTCTGGTGAAACTACCCTATACTATAAGATTTTCACTAAAACGTGCTCGATTTTAAACAGAAATCGTTCAAAATGAACTTAGATTGTTCACTGACGAGATCCAAACAAGCCACAAGGGCTATCGGCGTGCCCGTCACAGACAGGTCAGGTCGATTCTTAGAACAGACCAGACAGGTCACGCCAAGAAAATCAAAGGACAGGCACAGGCATGCCATGTCTTCAAAAAGTGGGCCTGTTTGGACCTCTTGGTCACTGTAATGACACTTTTCCATTACTAATGCTTTGACAGTGTAAGTGTTTACCTTACATTCAATACGTTATGAAAAGTATAAGTATGTTTAGAGAAAAATAAAGAAATACAGAAAAACATTAATATTTGAGGAAAACAATTATATTTTTGTTATAAAACATTTTTACTGAAATCTAAGAGATAAAAATGTCAATGATGTTATTATACGTAGGAGAGAAATCATGTGTAGTAACTAAGAAACCTTTTATAGTAGACTATGATTCAACTTCAGCTGATATAATCAGGATTCAAAGTCGATGCGATATCACGAATGACAAATATTGAATGATCAGATCGATAATTGATGAGATCAAACTATTGTTCATGAAACATAATACTGAGTCTTTTTCGCTGATATTTTGCAGACTTGGATAAGAAATAATACAGTTTAAATAACATTAATACAATTATTTTATTGTTGTCAAAGTGGAGCTTCAATGGTTTCTCTATAAACTATTTTGTGCCCAAGTGTAAATCATGCAATCATAGAACTCTTTATCACCATTGAAAATTATATTTTTAATGCGATTCATTTTGCCAATTAAATCTTGTGCAAGGAGACAAATGGTTTTTTTTTCGACAAATATATGAACGTATTCACACAAATGCAGTTAATATTTAAATTGTCCTTCATAAAATGATTCTGATTATTGTAGTAGATGTTTTTTTTTTCATTCAACTCAAAGAAATGCTACTCAAGAATATTTTAAATTATCATATCATAGAAACAATATCCTTCGGGTCATTTCCAGTGATCAAAATTTGTTTATTCGATATTTTCAGAGCATTATTTTGTAGTATACAAAAATTTCAATCAACAGGTACGCAAACTCATATAGATTTCAACTGGTCGAAGTACAGTAAAAAAAATACTCTAGAACTAGTTCTATCAGCAATCACTTTTAAAAGTGTCATCTGACGGTTTTTCAAACATAAAAAAATCTTTGGCAGGGATCAATCTCATTATTAATCGATTCGTTGATTTATTGCATTTAAACACACAATTGTTGTTTCGATAAATCACAATTAATACAATTTTGCGAGGATATGGATATTTCTAGAAAGACATTTTTAACAAATTGATGGACGCCAGGGATATTTACGGCATCGTTGTCACGTCGCCACTGTAACGGCAGCCTCATAGTATATATTTTATTAAAATACTGTGGCTATAACTTGTTACAGAGCTAATTGCAGTTGGGCAGTGGTGCGATAGAATTGATTTTCAACCATGTTAGGATAACGAAAGACTTTCAGCGGCAACAAAATTCTTTCATTGATATTGATGTCGATTAATTCGTCAAAATCAAATCAATATTTTCATAGATCTTTTTATTTTACCTAGAAACTCATCCATTCTTGTTTACTATTTCACAGAATATACAAGAAATTTCATCTTTGAAGTTACTCTTGTTACAGTCCGTATCTGTAGAAGAGGAAGGTGTATACATTCCGGATTCCTATAATGAAGTTCTTCCCATTTCGCAATTTTTAAAAATATTCAAAAAAAATTTTACCTGGATAAAGTGTGATACATGATACACTATGACATAGTCTATCGAATTGTTTGAGAAATAAATAAAGTGGCGAATTCAAATAAACTTTAATTTGTTGAAGGTCTGAATAATTATATGCATATGAATGATTACTTAATGAAAAGAAAAACAATAGATACAAAAGTTTTCAAAAATAAAATATTTTACCTTAAAATATCATAGTATTGAAATCGTTTGAAATCCGAAGCAAAGAAAATATGTTGATATGATTCGTCTTCGTCATAAACACATTTAACATTTGTCCATTGATCTAAAATAAAAAAAGAATCAGTTTTAAAAGAATTTATTATTTTAGAAATATCATTTTTTAATAATGATGCACCTTGTATACCAATATCAATATGAAAGTGTTTTAAATTAATTATATGATCAGGTAAACAATATTGTCGAATGAAATTTGCATCAACAACAGATTTCCATATTGGTTGATTTTTTATTCATTCATCATAAAGATATAACTCAATTTTAAGCTTTATAATATAATTAACATTGTTCAAAAGCCATTTTAAATAAGCGATTTGTAAATCATTTCTAATGGAACATTTCAATTTAAAACATTTCAATTTTGGAACCTATTTAATAAAAAAAAATTAGTCATAACTTTCTTTTAAAATCAAAAAGAAACTGCAAATAATCTATTTCAAGTTGATCTTTTTATTCTTAGTAAATAATTGAAATTGTCATTATACCCAATTTTTTTTCTGATCATATTAATGAAGTTTTTCCTAGTAATGAATTTTATCATGGTTTTTTATCGCTTGCGTTTTGACTTCCGTTAGCTCATCGATAGAAATAGAATTTTTCCAATTTAATAAAGAAAGAAGCGTGATTCTACTAAATAGATAATAAGTGTCTTTTCATAAAAATCCTTTTACGAAGAATCATACAGAAGATCTTTCGTTTTATTCAAGGATTTGATTGTGTCGGATGATTCGATATTCGTGTTGCACATGTTTATGTCGCATTCATGACGAAATCGAGATGTCATCTAGTTTCATTTATTTTCTCAGTTTAAACATCTTTTGTATCTATTTTCTTTTGCGATTATCTCAAGAACCAAAACTCAGCAAATAATCGTTGAAATGAGAAGCCAAAAACTGAAGATTGAGTCGATACTTTCTATTAAAACATTGTCTGTTAAATGTTTCCTTTCTTCAAGAATAGATTCTGAAAATGGCAAATTTAAAAAAAAAACATTTTTTTAAAACATTTTCAGATAATTGAAATAAAAACAAAGACATGTGAGATATCAGACTCTTTTCTCATATGTCGAGCATATGTGAATATATGCTGATAATAGATAAGGAATGATAATTCAAATAATTCAATGATCAATCAAAAGCGATTTTGCCGATACGCATTGATAAAGTTTTCATAGTAATGAATTTTATTGTAAAAGTATTTTTTAACAAAAAAGCAAGAAAATTTAGTCGCCACTCCTCCAAATTATGTCACAAACATTTGTTAATTCAGTTGGCGATAGATAATGAATCGAATTCATAATTAAATAATGAATTAAAATCACTCGTCAGTAAATCTATCGATATGCTTTATTCTCGTTATGATCTATTCCATTATGACTACTTTTGATGTTAACTCTAAGTCAGATCAACTGATGGATAGACCGTCAATTTTTGGATTTCGTTTCATTTAGAAACGAAAAAATAAGTTCGATTCCAGTAAAAGATGATTATTGGTAGGAAAAAGCTTCCGATACACTACAAAAACGATCTTTTTCAGTCAGAAATCTTTTTTTTTTGAAATTGAGCGAAACTCGTATACGATTTAGTTTGTATCTGCGCTGTTTGATATTCATAAACGAAATTATTCTTTCTTTGAAATATATGATAGACTAGTAGAAGAACTCTTTATTGATTATGAGGAAATAATGTTCATCACTGATTTTTCAGCATCATCGTTTTGTTATACTGTGTTGAGGCTCGAGTCTTAGTTCAATTAGAAATCTTTTCTGTTAAATAGCATATACGCACGATATAATATTTAACTAAGAAGTTTTTTTCTTCTTTAATCAGATCAACAACTGAAATAATATTAGATTGATCTTACTTTATTACACCAATGTTCATTTGATAATATCGAATTATAAATATTGGTATCAGAGTATTTAGAATAACGTTCAAACTGTTGACAATGAACTGATAATTCTTCGAGATTGGGTGCATGCTCAATTAGATCTTCAAGAAAGAATGTATAGTCAAGATAAATCTGCAAACAACGCAGAGTTATGCAATACGATTGAAATTCATTTGAAGTTGTGTTTATAGATGGATAAGAATATAACTTTAAACATTGATGAATTGATTTAAATGCTTTCCTAATATCAAGTGTACCCAGGCAGACAATAAACGGCCAGAAAGGCGTTTAAACGCGTTAAAAAAGCGTTTACACCGTTTTAACTGGTTTAAACGCGTTTACTACTGATTTTTTCACTTTTAAATCGTTTTTACAGTTTATTTTCAACTAAATTCGACAAAACCATTAAAAACGCCCCAATTTCGTGTTTTTTTCGAAAAAAAAACGTTTTAACAGTATTTTTCCGTTTTGCTTCGATTACCAAAAAAACAATCAAAACTACAAAAATTTTATTATTATGCTGACAGTAAATCATGTGCATCGTTACTAACTAGTTGTTAGTAGGTGATAGTCTGCGCTACTAATCTGTTACTAATGAGTAGTAAATTTTTAATTTAACTATTCTGTAATAGTTATACCTGTTTGAATGTATCTAAATCATGTAACACAACATAGTGAGTAATCAGTCTGGTTACTTTCTAGTAAGTAATAAGTTTTAAAATTCGTTGTTTATAAGTAACAGGCAACTGATGGTTAGAATACGTATCTTTTCCTAATAAACAGCAAAGAATCAGATCCGATATTTATTATTAGCAAACAGAAATTTTAAATCAAGAAAATTTTTTTATTGTCATTAAGTCGAAGTCAAAATTGATAGTAGTATAACGATCTTACTGAAAATACTTCGCGTAGTGAGTTTACATAGTCTATATTGATGTATTGTCAGTGTATCTACTCAGCAATATTCCACTGTCAATTGAAAACCGTTAAGACAAATATTGTTCGGTGTTAATATCTGATGAGAATGTAACAAGGCTTATCTTTGATTTGCCGCAGAGTAACTGCCATAAACTGATTTGCTTAACAGAAATAGGCGTGCAGCACATCTCATGCTGAATATCTTTAACAATCAGCGTGTAGACAATTAACATTATAGTGATTTGTTCAATGAATATTATAACATCATCTTAACCAATATTGGTTTATTTTACTGCACATTTAAGAAGATTAATTCTAGCTCAGTTGTATTTTGTGAATTATAATAAGTGCAGACAAATATTGTTAATGCTCAGAAACTAAATGGAAGGGGGAAATCATCATTAATGTTATTACATGTTAGTATATCATACTAACAACATAAACGATTCCTTCCTTCTTAGATTATATGATAATCATAATCTTCTCTATTTCTCTTTTAAAAGTGCAAGTACGTATGGGCAACAATCATGTTTAACCAAGATAAACAAGTTATCCTGTTCTCATATAGGTTATAATTAAAAAATGACATAGAGATTAGCTGTTTCAATAAAAGTTTCAAAACTTGACTATTGTATATTTCATCTAGTTATCATCGTCACATAGAAACAGAGTTATCATCAGTCCACATTTGCAAGAAATTTTTTCCATTCTGTCTTTTCTTTCCGTCCGTTCAGTTCACAGAAAAAGGAAAAAAGAGGTCATTCTTTTATCACTCTCTCGTCCGATTATTCGTCTGTTCTTTTCATTTGGAATTCATTTGTGTTCTGTTTCGTTCACATAGTTGCCTAACTGAGTAGGCCATTTTTTTTCTAACGTATACTTAAAATTAATGGTAAATTCACTATATGTAATGGCACATACTTCTTTTGTGTAAAACTGGATATGTTCGAATTAGATAAGTTCTTTTCTGCGGAAATCACTCAGAACGAGAGAAAGAATAGGACACTTACTGCATGGCTATTAATAGTGAGTTTCTGAGAAAAATACTTCAATATTCACTAGGTTAGTGTTGATTTAGACATAACATGTACGATACTTTTGACACTACAACTAGCAGAGTCGCTCGCAGACGATAAACATAGCAGGGTCCATTAAATATTCCTCACTTGAAATGTTTCATATATAATGTTCATCACGAGTACGTGTGACATATGAGACGTTTGAAACAGTTGGGTTTTCCACTCGGTGAAAAGGGAATCTTAAGTCATCGAAATATGAATGAGCTTTAAAAGAAATATCGTCGCTACAGGAAAAAGCAGATAGCATTCTGATGCATAGGTGTGCCTTAATCAATTTCGCGACCAACTTAATACACACTCATTATGAGATTTCGTAGTGCGTTGATGACATTTCTAGTTATATCATATCTCCGTACTTTGATATTTTAGAGTTTGATCGAAATGAAGTTAAATTTATTAATGATACTTGAAAAGAACATCTGTCTACCATAGTAGTTCCGATTGTAGTTTTCCTTATATTAGAAGCTGGTTAGATAGTCCGTGCTTTGCCTTTTTATCAATTCCTGTGTTAGTCGTACTATTTTAAATCTATTCATCAGTCTATCTTATCCGTCACTTATTTGAAACATGAATGGAAATAATTCAGTTTTCTTCTCGTTGATAAACTGACCGATTATATTCAGATTATCATTAGATTAATGTTAAATTGACATATGTTTATTGTTTATACTTTGAAAGCAGTGCAGAGAATTAAATCTCTCATCAGTTCGTTTCGTTTTATGTTAAGAGTAAGTTTACATTTTGCCATTTACTTGTTGGTATTTTTTTCTTTTTGTTTTTTATCTAATAGTGGAATGGTATGACAAGGTGTTAATGCTGTTCTATTAAACCTACATTTTTTATCTTTCTTTCCACTATTGAAAAAAAACAAAAAGAAAAAAATATCAATAAGTAAATAGTAAAATATACACTTATTCTTAACATAAAAAGAAACGAACTGATGAGAGATAAATTCTCTGCACTGTTTTCAAAGTATAAACTATAAACATATGTCAATTTAACATTAATCTAATGATAATTTGAATATAATCGATCAGTTTATCAATGAGAAGAAAATTTAGTTATAAATTATTGATACTTCATCGTTTAGATGAAACGTTTGTTGATCATTAAGAGGCGTGACAAGGGAAATTATTTCAACTGTTTAAACAGTGTCATTAGTCGCCAAAAACGCGTTAAAACAGTTACAATTTCAATGACTCCAAGCGTTTAAACATGTAAAACGTGTTAAAAGTTAATTTTTCATAAACTGTTTTAACGCGTTTTTGGCGACTAATGACACTGTTTAAATAGTTCAGATGTTGAGATGTTTAAACGCCGTTTTTGTCGTTTTGTTGTCTGCCCGGGTAAGAGAAGTTAATTGACATTGATTGAAGAATATTTGATATATAATTTGTTGAAACATATTTATTAGTTTTTCTATTTAATAATAATAAAAAAACAAAATCAATCTCTATGATTAACATTAAAAATAAAATTGTTTCTTTTATCCAAATAAGGGGAAAATGTGTTTTGATCACTAAATTTTCTCCTACGAAATGATCACCAAATCAATCAAGAATTGAGCCAATTAAAATGAGAAAAATGTTCCCATAAATGAAACTCAAAGTATCTAATATTATATGATTAAGATGATCTTATTAATTGGGATTAATGATGAACTTCAATACAAGTGTGGGACGTAACAAAAATCAAACGTTAAAGTCAGAGTGAACATGAAGATGGGAAGTGAGGATGTGAGTATGGGGTATGTTAGTGTGGGTACGTTCTGGGTGCGAAGATTGATGCAATATGGATGATATTTGGAAACAGAGAAAAACGCGTTTGGTTTTAATATTTCTTGCAGTTAATGGTGTGGATGCACGAAGATGCTGTAGTCGTTGATGATATTAGCATTTATTTGATTGAATTTTTTTTTCATCTGTCCTTTTGACGTTGCCGCCTATGGTTAATTTGATGGTCAGAACACCCATTTTTTCGTGACCATTTTGTAGCTAAAAAATTTACTGATCAAAACGCAACTTTTTGATGATGAAAAAAATCCTGACCCTTCAAATAAATTTCTATGAACTTTTATTAAAACAAAAGAATTTTTCTGCAATTTATTAGATCTAATTTAACACAAGCATAACTACAACGATCATATTTTATATTAATATGACTATTAACTTCCAACCCGAATATAAGAAAAGTCATTAAAAAAATCCTACTTCTTTTCTACATCGATTAAAATTAAGTATAGTTTGTCTAGAAAAGAATTTCTGATTAAAATCTAGTCTTATCGTTATTAAGTAAAAACTTGAAGCTTTCATTTTCTTTTACATTTATACGTGGACAAAATAATTTAGCATATTGATTCTACTAGTTTCTTTTTAATGAAGTCTCAGTTAAAACAAAAGCAATGATTCTCTCAACAATTGTAATATTGATAGTAATAATTTGTTTTTGTTCATCTCTAGTTTATTGCGGAAAAACCATAAGTATATGCTCAAAAATATTAAAACACAGAATAAACTGTATAATTGATTGCAAAGATAGCTTTCTTAATAAATAAGAGATTGTTATTCAAAAACAAAAATCAAATAAAGATTATTTAATGAAAGAGAGCAGTAACTTGTGTTGTACTAACAGATTTCTCATCAGGTGAAAAAAATTTTGCATTCGCATTTCTTGACTCACTCAAATGCCTTATTCAAAAGAAAATATTTAACAGAACATATCGAACAATGCTTCATACTTTTACCTAAACGAACACTATCTTAAACACATATGTTTGAGGTACATATTAATGTTAAGTCTTGGTGTGACTGTGGTTGAAACTTGGAGTAAGTCAAGAGATGACTCGAACTATACACACAAAGAACATCCATCCACGCCTTCATTTTCTGTTATCAATTTTAGGAGTCCCGGCATCTACCACTGTATTATATAATAATATGGTCTTATAGCTTTATATATGATTTTTATACCTTATTAAATTCTCTATCTAATATTACATAGTTAAAAATCATGTACGAAACCTGTATTAAAAAAAGACCAACTAAAAATAACTTCACCCGAAAGAGAAAGTTTTTTCTGTTTGATGTCTTTTAGAACATGCGAATATTCGTTTATATTTTTGAAAATCTAGCTAAAAGAAATTTCACTCTGTTCACTCTACGCAAAATTTGATGACGCATATTTTAACTATTAAAGATTTTATATTATAATGAACGATTGTAAGTGTGGGCATGGATGTTTGCTTTGTTGACATCTAGATCCCAAACCAAAAACTGGTCATTCAGTAAGGACTACTCCTTATGAATAATTATAATCTACCTTAGACCAATAATAAAATAACGAAAACTTATCCACAAATGATTAAATAATCATTTATCTTCAATACACATTCAGTTAGACATACAAATGACACCACCACAAATAGTACTTTCAATAATGACTACCATTTACTTGGTTCAAAAAAATTTCTTGCAAAGATGAGTAATATCATTTTAACAAAATTAATTATCTTAGACCTATGACGCACCTAACCAATAAATTCAGGCCTGGTAGTCAATGCCTGATTGGTTTTACGCTCTTTGACTCAGTGATTTCCAATTTCGATTGAACGAAGATCTACTTTGAATATGTATACAGTATTATCATCGCATGTCAGGCTAAATAAAATCTACTGATAATCAGTGATTGCTTCTAACACTTTTATCACTAGATTAGGCAGATTTTCGTATATAATGGATAGAAGATGATCTCGTTTATAAAAAAAAAAAAAAACTTGATTACCGTCATTAGAAAGAAATAACGAAAGTTCTAATTGAGAATCAAATGTTATATAAATATATTGATGGAATGTTAATGTAAGTTGGTCTAATTGATCTTGAATAAGTAAGGATAATGTATCAATTAATGGCTCAGATAATAAGCATTGAGTAATATTGAGTGATTTAAGATTAGGAAAACAAACTCTTTGTTTATCATTATGATAAAAAATTTCATGATAAATAAAATCAAAAGATATTGAATTAATTCCATCAAAATGAATATATTTTATATTCGAACAAAGATATGACTAATTAAGTATTAGCGGTAATAATATTTTAGAAAATTTTTTATAAGATAAACCTGGTTTGTTGAAAATAATTCCATTTTTATTTATAGAAAATGTTGAAGAAATAATGGAATTGATACGCTTATTTAATAACCACAATGATATTAAAATTTCATCCCATGATAAATAAGAAAATATTTGTACAAAGAGTTCATTTGGTAGTACTTCCAATTTACTTAACATTTTATCTGAAAATAAAATAATTATTTTGTTTTTTACTATACTATATACAAGTATACAAAAATCATGTTTTATTTTTTTCGCTTTTTTTCCTGACATTTTCTTTTCCAAAGGAAAAGCAAAAACAAACTGAAGAATGTTTATTAAATAAACATCATTTTTAGTAAATTTGCCTCTTTATTTTTAACGTTTTATTATTCACAAGCTTGCTTGTATCATATCGAATATGTCAAACAGAAACGGAAATGAAAAGAGCGAAATTCTAGCTAAACTTTTCCTGACTCTACATATAAAAGGGTCACAATTGAACTATCGATATGAATAACATATATAAACATATATATATACGATGATTTCGACACATTTTGTATAATCGATGTCCTTGATAACATCATGTTTTGTATGTTCATACATAACAATCAATAGAAAACATTACAATGGGACGAACCAGATCTTGGATGGGTTCAGTACAGGGTTGCCAGATCTTCTGAAATGGCAGGAAAGCTTCTGAATTTCAAAACTTTTTCTGATTTTATTCTGACCTTCTGATTTTTCTGATTTTTCAGATTTTTTTCGATTTTTCTGGTTTTACTGTTTCGCTGCGATATTTGTCCAAATTCTATTTCTGAATGAAGACTTTTCTCATATTGATTACGATCATAATCGTTAGCCATATGAAACATGTATGGTCTGATTATCGTAATTGCATGGACATAAAACTAGTTAGTGCTGAACTTAAGATAAGAATGAATGCTAATTATTCTTGTGAACAGTTCTAAAAACATATTTCAACTGATAAACATTTATTGCAGCAAATTCGAAAAATGAAAAATATCAATAGTATGGAACTCATATTGAATGAGTCGTTTTTTTAAATATCTCTTGATGTATATAGTGTATTTCTCGGTTTGTTTTTGCTCATTTTATGTGAAAAACGTTTTGAGTTTAGTAAAAAGTCTGATACTAGATGTCTTTTGCTAGTTTATGTGATATTGGGTGAACTACATATCCTTATTATTATTGTTTTTTTATGTTAAATATCTTCGAAAATAAATGAAGAATAGATGAACAAATTACAACTAAAGCATTTTGTAATAGTTGGGTAAAATAATAAGTGCCAATTTCAACATATTAGCCTTTCTGATTATTTTCTGATTTTCGAAAAAAAATTCTGAATATTTTCTGATTTTGATAGTCGGAATTTCTGATTTTTAAATTTTTGATCTGGCAACCCTGGTTCAGTATCAATAAAATGCGAACCGATTCTATTGAAAAATCATACTTTAGTACATCCTTCAACTTGTTATTAGTTTTGCCTTGATTCAATTGAATTGCTAAAAAGTCCACAAACTTGTGTTGCAAACGGCTCAATCTAGTTTCATAGAGAATTTTGTACTGGTGGAAATAGATTTTTTGGGTTTTTGCATCTTTTCTTAATTGATCACAGATGTGTTTTTTCTGAATATATGTAAAACCAGCTTTATTGATATCAATGACTAAATCTATGGGAATAATGCATCAGATCATTTTTATTAAGTGATTATTTATTAAAATACGGCTAGGATGTGGGTGTGGGATGTGGGTGTGGGTGGATGTGGGTGTGTGGGTGTGGGGCGGGTGTGGGTGTGGGTGTGGGTGTGGGGCGGGTGTGGAGGTGGGGGTGGGGGCGGGTGTGGGGGTGGGATGTGGGTGTGGTTGTGTAGGGGTGGGGTGTGTGTGGGTATCCTTTTCATAAACACTCACACCCTTCTTAAGTACTCCGATCACTTTTTCAGAGCGAGTATTTCATATCAAAATGTAGCTTGATACGAGACAAATCATCTCATGAAAGTCAGATTTTTCGGCCTTTTTTTTCTCGAGAAAATTATTAATTAAGTTGATCAATAGAGAGCAATGAGACAGAACAGCCAATAAGAATAGGATATCATGTTCTCATTGTTATATACATGTACACAATGTTTCTAACAGCAGTCGTACACAGCAGAAACAAAATGTACAGAATATCTCTGTTTTTGATTTACACCCAGACTCACACTTTACTAAAAAAGGTAAAGTGTACTGTGTACATCTTGTGAAAAAAATACATTTTGATTCTACACTAGAATTAGAAAAATTCTGAAAATATCATTAGAACAATAAGTATACGACAATACATTTTGATCTCTTACGTACAATTTTCTAGTTGAATAATAAAATATCATTTCCTTTATGTGTATTCCGTCTAAATTTATATCTCTCGACATAAAAAAGTATTTTGTGATTGTGACTGCAATTAATATATGTCTTTTTTGTTTGTTATAAAAAAAACTTTTCTCATATTTAAAACAGCATGTTACAATATGAAATATTGTCTATTCATTGATTATTTTTTCATCAAGTGTTAATTTATATTTGTCATTAAATAATAAACATAATCTTATTTTTATTTTCTAGATAGAAATAAATCGATTTTAATACATTTTGCTACTACAAGCAAAGTGTACACTTACAATTTGTGTGCAGATCCATAGTGTACCTGTGCATTTTGTTTTAATTTCCATTGGAAACACTACATGCAGAATCAAAAGGGTATCTTTTAATACAGATAAATTTCATCGTTTTAGAACGTTTTCGATCACTCAATATCATGTTCTACGTCATGTTTTCAATTAACTTCTAAAATACAATGGACGGCAAATCCTTATACAACAACTTTAGTAATAATCATTTTTTCTTCTTATGTGTCACCTTGTTTATTTTCCATTTGTTTTTAGAAATACCTCCGGGACAATCTAAATCAAAATTATGACCAGCTACACGTTTTAAAAAAGATTATGGATCAAAAATGAAGTGCAATAAAAACAAGCCATAATTCTTTTTGTTTGTTTTTTTTTTGTAATTTTATTTATTTGTTAATTCTTCTATTGCTCGTAAAATTGATTTCAAAATAAATTTATCGATCGAGACGATCATTAGTATTTACAAATAGACTTCATTTATATAAAAGAAATCGCGACGAGACAAACTCAAATGCAATAAGATGAAAATTAAAGGACAGTTCATTCTACGAAGCTGTCATTTTGTATTGTATGATTATTCCATGCTGAAGCCATTAAAGATAATCTTTATTTCTATTGGCCAGATTGTATCGATTATTTCTCGGTTATAATCACTTTTTTGGAAAAAAAAGTAAAAGTACAGTTTGATAGAGAATTTTTTTTTCTATCTTCTAATACTAAAGACAATCTCGGCCCATTTAATTTTCTAAGACGTCGCCAAGCGTAGTGCATTTGATATTGATTCGATTAAAACGCTATGCTTTTTTCACTCTGTCGGCTGACTATTAAGGAAAAAATATAATTCAAATACACTATCAGTAAGACGACCCGACCATTTTCAAAATATATTTATTCTGTACTCCTCTTTACTGATGCTTTGCAAATATTACGATTTCTATTGCTTCAATAATCACCCAATAGAATTATTATTGTCATTGGGCTAGATGATCGAATATAGAGAGATTAGCTTGCACGATCTCGGAACGTTTATTGACAGTTGTTTTTAATCATTTCAACAAATTCTTCACATAATTGAAGCAGAACGTGTTACTTTTAAACTTAGTGACATATAAACATCTGCTCGTAATATTGATGTATTATCATCGTCTATTTTATATTATTCATATAGAATAACGAATAATAAACAAGTCAAACTAATAACTGATTTTCATTATGGTAAAATTAATTGATGCTCAACTAAATGTGTTCATTTAAAATTTTTAAAATTAACATTAATCTTAATCAAAGCTGTTTTATTAAATATACTATCAACAACGAATGAAATTATTTATTGATTAGATGATGAAGAAAGAACGTGCAATTATTTTTAAAACTGATGAATCTAATGAAACTTAGAATCAACAAAATCAATATGAAACTATTTATCTATATACAATTTTAAAACATTCTACTAATTTATGAATAATTTCGATACTGATGTAAATATAATTGAAGATAAAGAAATTGAAAATACTAATTATGAACAAATACCTATTGAAGAATTCGATATGACTGTTCGACGTTAGTATGAGTTATATAGAAGATACTGATAAGAAAAGCTCTTCAAAACAATTCAATTATTATATCGGAATTAATAAAAAGAATATTCTCATTTTGATAGAAAAGATAATTTATACATTGAAAAGTAGCTTTCATTTTGATTAATATGATACGATTGAATCACTTGTTTCATTAATATCTCATTCTATTAGAAATAATAAAAAAATATCTATATTACAATATAATGTTAAATTGTTAATTGAAAAAGAATTTCTTCAATAAAATAAATATATGAATAAATCCAAAAGAGAAAGAGAGAGACATTAATGATTAATTAATGAAAGATTATTATTAAAAAAATGTTCATGAAGATTAACAATGACATTGTTTATCGAAGAATGATAATTTTGATGGATAATATCATCATTCTTCTAATCAATATCGACACAAAGAATCAAAGAAATCTCAAAAATATTAATTATTTTTGTTGTCACTCAATTATTGTATTCATACGTAAAAATAAATGTCTATACATAATTTATTGTTCTATGTCTATTTATCTGTTTTCTTTTTTTTTTGTTTATAGATATTTTCTCAATTCAAAAAATTTTAATTGATACATTAATATGATGAAATTAGTACCGAGTGCCAATGGTCAATTTATTTTACAACGATTTTATGTTCTTTGTTTCCGTGTGTATGTATTCTAAAAGAAAAGATTTTTATGTCAGTGGTTTGCTTGTTTTGTTTTTGTTTCTCGTTACGAATAAAATGTCTATGGATTTGATTAACTACGGAAGAACTATATAAGAGTATTTAAC